ACAAGAGAAACCTAGACATCCCACCTTGGGGCAAGTTCTTGTACAGGCCGCAGGCCAACATAAATGTTGGGTCCCTATGCCAAGTATCCAAAGGAACCCAGTTCTTGGGCACGGCCACCATCTTCACATCCTTGTTCACCTTGTTGACCCCAAACTATTCAAGCTGGTACGCTTGGCTGGGGTGGACGGGTGGCTTGTACGGCTTATGGACCCCACGGCCAAGATGGATCGGCTTGGCATTAAATCGGTTCATCCTAAGGTTAAACTCCACATCCTTAGTCTTAACGCGGTAGAACCGATTCTTCCAGTCTCGCCACTTGGAGACACGGTTAACCACCACCATATAGTCTTTTGTGGTGCTAAGGATGAACCAGTCGTCCGTGTGCTTCTTCATCTTGGTCATGGAGTGCATCTCGCAAAAAACCAGAAATTCCACCTTAAAGACCTTGCGGATGCACGTCACCAAGTTCCTAAACACATTCAGCCAGTTGTTTAGCATCACCTGGAAGAGAGCTATGTTGTATTCGTCCAGAACAGTGCGGACGAAAGGGTGAAGGGGGGAGCGGATTCCAACGTCAAAAGCGACCTTATAAACGCTGAAGGCTTTCCGTTGAGGTTGTTCATCCTCCCATGCGGCCACGAAGTGAGATTTTTGTGGCGCCTTCAGCTCAAAGCCCTCTCCTAGATGGAGGAACTCCTTGTATTCCTCAAACCCGTCATAAAGGTAGCCAATGCCGTGCTACCCACTGTACAGGCGTACGGGTCTTTGAAATTTTCAATGTGCGCCTTCACCCTCAGTCGCCGCCTCCCCTTGGGCCGTCTCACCTTTGGCCTTGGTCTCATCTTCTACCTCCTTATCTTCTTGGTGAGGGGCAGTACCAAACTCGGAGGACAGAACTCTATCCAAGTCACCTGCCTCGGCCGAGCTACGTCCTCTAGAGACGAGGCCGCCCCCAGCTGAAGGAGGCTCTTCAGAAACTAAGGGACTTTTACCCTTGTCTTTAGCAGCGGCCGCTCTGGTTTCCGAAGAAGGGCCACTGCGAGGGGGCAGGTCGGACGTCTCATTGATAGAGATTCCAACTCTTCGCCTGTCCGACCTGCTATGTTAGAGATGGGGTGGTAAGGGAAATGAAGAGGACGAACCAATAATGGGCGCCCTAGAAGAGGAAGGAGGCCTTTCACGAGATCGCAACTCTGCCGATTGTCTGTCGAGTTGGCTTATTGTGAAGACCTAGATTCAGGGGTTGGCCCGGACACCCCAGCTATAGAAGAGACGCTCTATGCACGTTGGCGCTCCTCAAAAGATGAAGTTACTTCCTCGGCCGAGCAATGACTACCCGTGGAAGCGATCGTAGGAGTAGTGGAAGGAGTTTCTAATTTAGTATTATTTGGTTCATGTGGAGTCCTAGGATTCACCAGACTACCGTCTGGATTTCTGGCCACATGATTATCATGCGTCTGCATTGTTCTTGCCATGTACGACTACAAGGACAGAGAAGAATAGGTGGAGGTGAGTTGGTACGCACTAAAAATGGACCCACTCCATGAAGGAGACAACTCATCTCCGTCCACTCTAGACTACTCAGTCCCAGGCGAACGGCCGGCCTCATGAGTAGAAACGGACGAAGCCGAGTGTTGAGCCAGATTTAAGAAATGAAAAGCAAAAAAAAATAATACAAGGATAAAGGGAAAGAAAACAGACGGCCTACCTTTGTACGTGTAGAAAACTTGAAAAGTCTTGAGGGTTGACCGAAAAACTCAAAAATGCGCCCAGAAAACTCAAATGCACGGCAGAGCTCTTGAAGATTCAAAGAAAAAAGCACTTTCTCTCTCTAAAAGCTCTGATCTCTCTCTAAAAATCACAAAGTTCCAAAGTGTGAAAATGAGGTTGAAACCCCTGCATATTTAGGCAAAATTTATGGGGGCATAATGGTAAATTCACCTTTCCCGCCTAAGGAAGCTAAACGGTTATAATTTGAAAAATTAACCTAGAATTTGAGGGGGCAAAAGGACAACGTTGTTAGAATGAACGGAAAAAGAGACGGCCTAAAAACTGCGCGTCCGAAATGACGGACAACATAGACGGAACTAAAGCTTCCATCTCAATAGATAGACGTCCGCTTTTCCCCAAAAATTGAGTCGGCATACCTTGTCCGCTTCTTTCTCAGAGATAGGCGTCCGCTAGAGGATTCTTAAGCGGACGAAAGTAGTATGCCAGCCAAATACGGCCAACTTCAAATGGGGCGGACAGACCCAAGTACCTCAGCAATCTGCCAAATCCCTGTATATTCGTACTCATCAAGGCAAGTAAAGATCAGAGGAGGCGGTCGTTATCGTACGAGCCACCCCCCTGAGGGGCAAATGTTTAGGGTAAAAATACCCCATGTACGTTGACCAATCCCGTAGCGACGTGGCCCAATCAGAGGGTGACATGTGTCACTATGGGAAGATGTCGCGTGTCCAAGGCATAAAGAGCCCTTGAAATCAGCATTAAAAAAGCCTTATTACATCATGGCCCAAATCCCGAGAGATATTCATGAAAGCCGCAAAACGGGGCCCCCATATTACATGTGGCATCGCGTGATTGCGCAGCCAATCACGTCACAGAATTTTAGGGTACAAACCCTAAAGGGGCACAAACTCCCACCCCTATAAATACCCCAATCATTTATGATGCTAGGGGGGATTACGAAATTACAACCAAGAGCATTAAATAGCTCCAACTTCAATCTACTTTCTCTATCTAGCCTTTTCCGTTTCAGATCTCTAACTTGATTGTCGGAGGCGAATATTCCGGTAAAGGAATATTTGTTCATTTTGCAAGTGTCCCAGCCTCATTGCCTGTAGAGCGAGATCAGTATCCGAGGAAATCAAAAAAACACCCGAAACATTTACCCTAAACATCATACTAAGAAAAGCATCCTAACATGATACTAAGAATCAAAATAACAACCTAAGCATGATTTCTATACCAAAATATCAATAAAACAATTAAAGCACTTACTTGGATGCCTTGTATCTCTTTCTAATAACAAAATACATACGTTAGTAACTTCAAGGAAAATAATAAAAATCAAAACAATTAAATTAAAAAATTGAAATAAAGATTTGGGACCAAACCCTCAGAAATATCAAACCTTTCACGTGTAGGGCGAAGGCAACTTTGAACTTGACTAGGTGTATCTAGTGTTAATGTATGAGGAACTGTGTAAAAATCTAGGCTAGAAAGAGGGAGAGAGAGAAAACGCTTTAGCTTAGGGAAAGAGAAAAATTAGAGAATTCTGGTTGAGAATTGGTTATTGAAAACGGAGGTCCAAAGACCTTATTTATAATACATAGTCGGGAATTGATAATACAAATCAGAGTTCGAAAAGGAATAAAACACGCCTCTGTCGCCAACAACAGGGGTTGTCGCCAGGCGACAGGATCTATCGTTTGGCGTTGTAAATAAGACAGTTTTTTCGGATTTTTTTTTATCATATCTTTTGATCTACACGTCCAAATAAGTTATATAATATGTCGTTTGAAATCTTTTGAAGTCTTTCCAACCCTATTAAAATCAGAATAAAATCATTTTTAGATAAAAAGATATGGCCGAAATAGTGGAAGGGTGTCAGTTTTGAATAGAGTTTCATATTCCATTCATATCTTTTTCGTTATAGCTCAAATTTAATATTATAATATATCAATGGAAATATAAGTTCAATATCTATCCAACCATATAAAATTTGGATAAATATTATGAGGCACGAAAATAATATCTGAATATATTTCATTTCGTATAAAACAAGGATTCTCAAAAGGAGTAGTTTTGTTCAATTTCAAAGTTTTTGAAACATAATTATCAATCCTAACTCCATTAGAATCTAAGAGAACCTTCTAGAGTATTCTAGAAGACTATAATCAATCCTAATAGCTTTAGGAATGATAATTAATAATAGGCCCTCCTCTAGATCATTGGGCTGCATATAAAAACAAAATCGGGCCCAAATTAGTATTTTGGCCATAACATCCTCATTATTCATCGGAATTGAGCCTATAATATACAGTTGGAAATCTCTTTTCGATCCCAATCCAACTACACTATTATTGGAACCTTATCATGGACAAAACTAAATTGGATTGGCTATTTTCATAAAATAGATTAGCTTTTTGAAAACAGAAAGAAAGATTTTTAATAAAAACTAACCGCAACATTAGACTTTCCACACTTTTACTTCATTCGATTATGATTCGACGCGAAAGGTATTCATCACCGGGTTTGGTTTTGGGGAGACACATTTGGGTGTCTACAGATTTCATACCTGATCTTAGCTTAGGAACTTCTGTGCATTCTATGCATTCCTATCCTTTATGGAACCAAGAAACTATGTTGAAGCTTTAACTGACGCTAACTGGATTAATGTTATGCAAGCTGAACTTAATGAGTTTGAAAGAAATAATTTTTAGCATCTAGAACCTAGACCTAACAAGAAGAAGACTATTGGATTAAAATGGGTGTTTAGGAACAAGCTAGATGAGCATGGTATTATTGTCAAGAACAAGGCAAGACTTGTTGTACAAGGTTTCAATCAACAGGAAGGAATTGACTATGAAGAAACATTTGCTCCTGTAGCCAGGTTAGAGGCTATTCGCTTACTTATTGCTTTTGTTGCTTATATGGGATTTAGGCTGTACCAAATGGATGTTAAATGTGCCTTTTTAAATGGATTTCTTGATGAGAAAGTCTACATGGAACAGCCTCCTAGATTTAAAAATCCAGAGTTCCTAAACCATGTCTATAAACTTGACAAAGCTCTTTACGGGTTGAAGCAAGCTCCTAGAGCATGGTATGAAAGATTATCTAAGTTCCTTTTGAAAAATGGTTCTAAACATGGAAAATTTGATAAAACTTGTTTTTAAAGTCAAATGAAACTGATATCTTATTTGTACAGATTTATGTTGATGATATTTTATTTGGTGCAACTAATGAGTCTTTGTGCAAGTATTTTGCTGACCTAATGAGTGGAGAATTTGAAATGAGTATGATGGGTGTGTTAAACTTCTTCCTTGGCTTGAAAATCAAAGAAACTGAAGAAGGAATCATGATCCATCAACAAAAATATATAAAGGAACTGATCAAGAAATACAAGTTGGATAATGCTAAAACCAACAAGACTCCTACGGGTACTGGAACTACATTGGATGAAGATCCATCTGGAACTTGCATTGATCAAACTATGTATCGGGGTATGATTGGCTCTCTACTTTACTTAACAGCTAGTAGATCTGACATATCTTTTAGTGTAGGTCTATGTGTTAGGTTCCAAGCTAATCCAAAGGAATCTCACTTGATAGCAGTAAAGAGAATCCTTCGATACTTGAAAGGAACTGATGACTTGAGTCTCTTCTATCCTAGATCTAATGCTTTTGACTTAAATTTCTTTACTGATGCTGACTATGCAGGTTACTTGGTTAATAGAAAAAGTACTTCAGGTATGGTACAGTTTTTAGGAACTTGTTTAGTTTCTTGGGGTTCCAAGAAGCAAAACACATTTGCATTATCTAAAGCTGAAGCTGAATATGTGGCGGCAGCAGCATGTTGTTCACAAATTCTATGGATAAAGCAACAGGTTAGAGATTTTGGTATTATATTTGAATGTGTTCCTATTTACTGTGATAATACCAATGCTATATGTATTTCAAAGGATCCAGTTCAACACTCAAAGCACTAGTAGAAAATATCAAAAAGGCACCCCCTAATTGGCACCGGTTTAGTCCAAACCGGTGCCAAAAATGGCCTAAAAAATTGGTGGGAAGGTAAACCAGAGTAATAGGCACCGGTTCACTTCAAACCGGTGCCAAAATCACAAAGGCCACCGGTTTTAACCAGTGCCTTTGTGAACCGGACCTTTTATTATTTAAAAAAAAACCGGCCTTATCTCTCCTTAAAACCCTATAACTTAGCTTGCTCCTTCTCTCTCCTCAGTCTTCCTCTTTCATCACTCTCTCCTCTCCCTTCTCTCTCCTCTGCTCTCCCTTCTTGCTCTATCTCCTCTGCCTTCTTGCTCATCTCTTCTCTTTCTCTTCGAACACAAACGCAACAACACCTACTCGATCTCTCCTCTGCTCTCCCTTAAACCACAACAACAACAACATGCAATAATAAACTGCAACAACAAAAACATGCAACAACAACACCGCAAAGCCGCCGCCACCACGGTAACATCAAGTTGATTTGGGTTTGTTCGAAGTTAATTTTGGGTTTAATTGATTTGATGAGTGTCTTCGAAACTTTTTATGGGTTTCTTTAAAAAAAATTTGTTTAATCCACCACGAATTAAATTTGTTTTATTGATTTATTTTTTATTTTAATCGATTTAAATTTGTTTTTTTAAAATGATTTTCGATTTTATAGTTTAGTTAATCAATTTTTTAACTTATTTTAATTCGTTTTTTTTTAATTTCTGGTTTTTTTGTCGAATTTTTTTTTATTTTCTGGGTTTTAATTGATGTTCTGGGTTTTAATTGATTTTATGGGTTTTATTTTCTGGGTTGTAATTGATGTTATGCGTTTTTGAACTGACTTTGTTTATTTTTCTTTTTTTTTTCCGATTTTCTGGGTTTTTTTTTGGATTTTTGAACTGTTTTTTTTTCGATTTTCTGGTTTTTTTTTTCGATTCATTTTCTTTTTTGAACTGATTTTCATTTTCATTTTCTAGGTTACTCTTTTCTTTTTTCGATTTTCTTTTTTTTTCGATTTTCTGGGTTTTTGAATTGATTCATGTTAATCGATTCATTTTGGTTGTTTTAATTGGTGCAGGTATATGGATTTAATTCTTAAATTGAAGAATCAACATGCAAGTATATTGATCTTAAATCGAAGAATCAACTGATTTTCTTTTTTTTTATTTATATTGTAAATTTTTTTTTATTTTATTGTGTAATTTTTTTATTTTGATTTAGCTGTTGTAATTTATTTTTCCCTATACTGTAATTTTTTATTTATTATATAATTGAACAGATTTGATTATATTAATATTTTGGCACTTTTGGTTATTATTAAGATTTTATTATACTGTAATTTTTTTTTATTATATATATTAATATTATAATGAACAGGTTTGATTATATTAATATTAATACAGATCTAATTTTTAAGAAAAAAAATTATTATGTTGGCACTTTTGGCACCGGTTAACCGGTGCCAAAAAAGGAATCATAAAAATTTTTGGTACTTTTTGGCACCGGTTAACCGGTGTTAATTTCAACTTTTGGCACCGGTTTGAACCGGTGCCTTTTTAAACCCCTTTTGGCACCCCCCACATTGGCACCGGTTCAAACCGGTGCCTTAGGCCGAGTTTGAACCGGTGCCAAATTCGTTTTTTCACGTAGTGAAGGTAAAACATATCAACATTAGGCATCACTTTCTAAAATATAATGTGGAATAAGGGAATATTAAGTTAGAATTTTGTCAAACCGAAAATAAAATTAAAGATATTCTAACCAAGCCCTTGAACAGAGAAAGATTTGAGAAATTGAGACTGGAACATGGGATGATCAAGCTGATTTGATTGCTGCTGAAGTTCCAAGATATGGCAAGTCAAAAATAATGTAAATAGAGCTAAAAGAGAATTTAGCACAATCTTGGTGTGCTAAACATAGCTGAAGTGTCACCGTTGGATAGCTTCAAAAGGTTAGTTCACAAAAACACTTGATTGATTATGTGAATAGTAATGTACATTCTATGCGTGTAGATAGCGTGTTCCAAATAAAATTGTTTTACATGAAAAGGTGCAATTTTGGAAATTAATCGAATTTGGAAATAAAAGAATTTTGGCAAAATATATCCTGTAGAATATTAAGAAAATTAATTGAATGTGTTCAATTAATGGTAAACAACGTGCCTCTTTATTTCACTCACACCGCTTCATTAATTATAAAAAGAGAATCTCTCACCCACCTTTTCACTTCACTGTCAAATCACTTTAACCACTCAGTAAAAGCTTCAAACTCTCTAAAACCCTCAAAACCTTGAATTACCATGGCGATTGTGATTGAGCTTAGTTCATCAGAAAACTCTCACCACTTCGAGAAAACAATTCAAGAAGAAAACTCTCCCTTAACAATGGTGAAATACCATCCCTTACCCGATAAAACCAAAGAATCTGAAAACCCTAATTCTACTTCCTCAACCTCGAAGAATGAGATTGAAAAGAAAAAGAAGCCTCAACTATAGATGTGCTTCAACGACTGAGAGAATGGAAGGAGAAGAAAGCAAAGTCAAAATCGCTAGAAGAGCACATCGAGGAAGTGAAAGATTTTGCTGAGGGGAAACTTCATAATGAAGTAGAGGAAGAGGAAGAGATGGAGATTGATGATGAACAGAAGTCACTGGAAAAGTTGTTTGGAAAGTATGTTGTTGGCTATAGACTTGATCTATCTTGGGTTAAAAAATCTAGGTTTATGGAATTTCTAGACTTAATTTTCTTTCAAGAATGGGAGGATATGTTGGTTAAAGCTTTGAATAATTGCATGTACCCAGCAGCAATGAATGAATTTTGTGAAAAAATTGTTGTGAAACAAGGAATAATTTCGAGTTTAATCAATGAAGTAAAAATTGAGTTTGATGTTGAAACCCTAGGAACAATTCTGAAAGTTCCAACTAAGGGTTATGAGATGTATGTGAAAGGTTGTGAAGGTAGGAAACTTTTTAGGTGGAGACATAGTGGAGTTTCTAGAAGGAAAAAGAGGAAAGAATACAATGAACCATAATGATTTGAGTCCATTGAAGAAACTTTTGTTCAATTTGGTCAAGAAAGAAATTCTTCCGAGAACTCAGAAAAAGGATGAAGCGTGTTTGATGGATATGGCAGTAATTTTCTGTTTGGCTAGAAAAATAAAAATCAATTTTCCTTTATTAATGTATCAACACTTGGCTCATTGTGTTCCTGGTAAAAATAAAGTTGGATATGGTGCTCTGTTGTCTACTTTATTTGAGTCATTAGGTGTAAAACTCAAAGGATTTTATGGAGGATTGCAAGAGAAACCTGAAAATGTGATTAATGAGAAGACTTTGCAGGGGTTGAGCTTATGTGTTGTTGGAGGAAAGATACAGAAATATGAAGAGAAAAAGGGTGAGTCTTGATTAGGGGATTTTTATCCACCAATCAGCATCCGACACGCCAGCCAGGTTTCGCCACGTGTCCTTCATGTAGGCTAATAGGAGCCTGCCACGTGTCACCAAGAGATTCGTCCTCCTTGGACCAATTACAATGTGACACGTGTCCATCCATGCCAAATGGGAAAACCGGCCAGCAAGGCCCAATCATTGCGGGAGGCCCAGTCAGCCTTAGGTTTAACCTAAACCTAGTACTGGCACGCATCCAAAGGCATATAAATATGCCCATTAATCCTCATTAAGGGGGATTACGCACATTTAACACTCTCACCTAGAGAGACTCAATTACTTTTATTTCCGCATTAATTACTCCTTAATCAAGTACTAACTTGACCGTCGGAGGCGGATCTCCAATCGTCCGGAGCATTCGTTTGTTTTGCAAGTACAGGCGTCCGGTTCCAGTCTCGGAATTGTAACTCTCCCGCAGGATATCAGAAAACCCCGAAACATTTTGGCGCCGTCTGTGGGGAGAGTACTTCTGAGATGGCATCCACGTCTGTACCGACTCCTGAAGAGAGGCGTCCCCTGGACGACCCTCAAGTTCAGTCGGACCATGATACTGAGGAAGAATTTGAAGTTGAAGCTCACACAGCTTCATACGGGACCCTAAGGGCCCGACGCACCCGTCATACCGAAAGGAAATAACGGGAAGATCTTCAAACTGGACTCAGTGATCCAGCCGGCGCACCGCCTGTTCAGCAGCAGCCGGCTGATGGGTCTGCTCCCATTACAAGAAACGAACTCATGACCTTCATGAGGGGCTTCAAGGGAGAGATTCAAGAGTTGCTCAACAAGAAGCCACCTGCTCTGGTCAAGGAGCAGTCGGCTAAGAAACCTTCCTCTTCAGGGAAGAGGAAGCTTGTTCAAGGGCGAGAGGCGACCCCTCATCCTAACTCTAGGAAGTGGGAGCCGCCTGTCCTTGATTTCACAAAGTACCGCTTTACCACTCCAGGAAAGAGGAAACCTGTTCGTCATATTCAGGCGGACGGGTCGAAGAAAACATACACAGATGCTCGGCTATTGCTAGAGCAGAAAAAGAATGACCGATTCTAAGAGACGGCCTCTACTTCAGACTTCCAAGACAGTCTACGCAATACCTCGATGAGGCATACTCAGTCGCATCATGAGAGTCAGTCAGGCGGTACCTCCCGTCAGTCCGGCTTTCATAGTGACTAGGCGGTACCAAACTTACCATTTGTACCGCAACAACAATGTTTTTTACAGCCACCCCTGTTTGGAGGGCATGCAGCAAAGAATGTCCAACCTATGGACTAGCAGCTACGGTTGCTTAGACTTGGGGAACAGTCGTCGACCTTCTCCAAGGAAATTGCTGAAGCCGCTCAGCCGGCCAAAGTAAAAAAATGTATTAGTAGGCGCCTATGACGGCACTACTAACCTAGAAGACCATTTGATGGCATTCACCAACCTGATGTACCTTCAAGGGTTGGATGATCCCACTTGGTGCAAGTGTTTTCCAGCGACTCTCAAAGGAATCGCACAACAATGGTTCAGCAACCTGCCGACTGGTTGTGTGAATAACTTCAGGACGCTTGCTTACTTATTCACCTCCAACTTTGCCATGAACATACCTGCGAAGAAGACGACCCTTGATTTAGGAACGATTCAGCAGGGCGAGAAGGAGGGGCTTCGTTCTTACATCAGGCGGTTTAACCTGATGAGAATACAGATTCAAGGGTTACCGAATGAGGTAGCCTATAATGACTTTTTCAGAGGTCTCAAAGACGGGTCGACATTCAAATTTGATTTGGTCTGAAAGAGGGTGGCGACTCTTCAAGAGGCCTTGATTGAAGCGGAAGCCTATATACAGGCGACTGATCTTTGTAGCACGGGAAAACAGTCGGACGGGAAAAGGTTCGACAAAAGAGAGGGACGACAGAAACAGTCGTCGAACAAAGATGAGAAGAAGAGAAAAGAGGTCTGGGCGGCTGATTCCTCTAAAAAGCCGGCCCAGAAGAAGAATAAAGAATTCAAACCATACTCCCCAAAGTATGCGTTTAACAAGGATAGCCAAGCTATCCTAAAGGAAATCAAGGGACGGATCTCAATTGAGAAGCCGGCCCCCATGAAGGGTTCTGCAAGCAACCGGAACCAAGAAAAATTATGTGATTATCATGAAGATGTTGGTCATCACACCAACGAATGCATCACTCTCATGCGGTATCTGGACCGCCTGGCTGAGCAAGGCGATCTTGACTCTTATGTCAAGAAATCTACGGGGAACACTTCCTCAAAAAAGCAGTCGTCAAAAAAGAATCAACAGGCCGACAGCTCTGATACAGATGATGCAGTCGTCTACACCATTGCAGGCGGCTTCTCAGGAGGCGGCCCCACTATTAGGGGCAACAAAGACATTATCAGGCGGCTAGACGTAAATTCCGTTCACCAAGAACGGCCCTCCAAATATTCATTTCCTGAGATTTTCATCACTGAAGAAGATCTAGGAGGGGTAAGGGGGCCGCATGACGACCCTATCGTTTTTGAATGTAAAGTGGCCAACCAGAGAGTTGGCCGAATCCTTATAGATACCGGAAGCTCCTCATATCTTATCAGTAGCAAATGTCTGTCAAAACTCAAATATCAGACTGATTGCATACATCCGGCATCCCACCCTTTAGTAGGGTTTGGAGGAGGAGTCGTCCACCCAGTGGGACGAGTGGATTTACCCATCCGCCTGGGTGAAAAAGGGGAAGGACGACACATGGTAGTCCGGTTCCTGGTAGTAGAAGAACTCTCGGCCTACAACATGATTCAGGGACGACCAACCCTGAATAATTCCAAGGCTGTTATAATCCCATCTCTTATGTTGCTCAAGTTTGAGAGGGATGATGGAACAGTCGGGTCCCTAAGGAGAGATCAGAGGATGGCCCGAGAGTGCTATCTCTCGGATATCAAGCCCACTGTTATGGCTGCTGGGTCAAGTGGCGGAAAAACAGACCTTGACAATGTCAAGGAGAGTGCGCCTGTTCAAGAAGCAGGCGGCAAGAAGAGAAAGGCAGCCCAGACGGGGGCCGCAAGAAAAGACAGAAAATAGCAATCATTGGCAGAGGAGCGGTCGGATGAATTCCGCCCTCAGCCGGCTGGTGAGCATACGGACCTGATCTTAGACGACTCGCGTCCTGACCGAACAATCAAAGTTGGGACGACTGCTCTGAGAGTCCTGGGTGACGACTTTCACAAACTATTGAAAGAATACAAGGACATATTTGCATTCGAAGTCCATGAAATGCCAGGCATTAGTCCTGACCTGGCGGTACATAAACTGGTCGTGGATCCGAAAAAGAAGCCGGTAAGGCAGAAGAAGCGGAACCATGGCAAAGAAAGAAGTCAGGCGGCAGCCGCCGAAGTTAAAAAATTACTTGATGCAGGGTTCATTCGGCAATGTTATTTCCTAGACTGGGTTGCAAATGTGGTGCTTGTTAAAAAGCCGAATGACACCTGGAGAATGTGTGTAGACTACACAGACTTAAACAAGGCGTGCCCCAAAGATAGTTACCCTCTGCCTAAAATTGATAGCCTGGTCGACTCAACAGCCGACCATGCTTTGATGAGCTTTATGGACGCCTACTCTGGTTTCCATCAAATTCCTTTATGGAAGAAAGATCAGGAGAAGACGGCCTTCGTCACTGATCAAGGGTTATACTGTTACACGGTCATGTCGTTTGGTCTTAAGAATGCCCCGGCCACCTTCCAGCGAATGATAAACACTGTGTTCTTTGATCAGATTGGGAGAAACGTCGAGGCATACATTGATGATATGATTGTCAAGTCTAAGCTTCAGATAGATCATCTGTCGGACCTCCGAGAAACTTTCGCCACACTCAGGCGGCACCATGTCATGCTCAATCCCAAGAAATGTGTATTTGGAGTTGAGTCTGGGAAATTTCTCGGATTCCTTATCAATCAGAGAGGAATAGAGGCGAACCCTGAGAAGGTGCAGGCGGTCATCGACATGCAGTCGCCGCGTACCGTCCGAGAGGTTCATAAGTTAACAGGTTGTCTGGCGGCCTTGGGAAGATTTCTAAGTCGATCAGGCGACAAATGCTTATACTTCTTCCAGGCCATTAAGAAGAAGGCAAGGTTTGAATGGGGGCCGGATGCTGAGGCGGCCTTCCAGAAATTGAAAGTTCACTTGCATTCCTTGCCGAGGCTGGTCAGCCCTTTGCCCAAAGAAGTACTCTACATGTACCTGGCCGTCTCTGATCATGCGTTAAGCGCTGTTCTTCTTGCTGAAAGAGACGGTTGTCAGCTCCCGGTCTACTTTGTCAGTCATGTACTGAAAAATGCCGAGTTGAGGTATCCCTTAGTGGAGAAATTTGGTCTTGCACTCTTAATGGCTGTTAAAAAATTGAAGCCCTACTTTTTGGCACATGCAGTCGTCGTGTATACAGATCAACCTATCAAGCGGCCACTGACCACCATGGAGTCGTCAGGCCGGATGATCAAATGGGCCATAGAAATACAGAGCCTCGAAGTTACTTTCGAGCCTAGAAAAGCAGTGAAGGGGAAAGCCTTTGCTGACTTTATTGTTGAGATGACTCGTCCCCCTGATTCTCGAGATCCAGACCAAGTCTGG